CAGGTATTTAGTATTGGAAGAGTGCTGGTGGATATATCATATGATAAGCAGGTATTTAGAGTACACGGGTGCTGGTGGATATATCATACGATCAGCAGGTATTTAGAGTACACGAGTGCTGGTGGATATATCATATGATCAGCAGGTATTTAGTATTGGACACCAGTTAACTTTACCAACTGTCAGAGTGAGTAGATGACACCGGTCAACTTTACCAACTGTCAGAGTGAGTAGATGACACCGGTCAACTTTACCAACTGTCAGAGTGAGTAGATGACACCGGTTAACTTTACCAACTGTCAGAGTGAGTAGATGACACCGGTTAATGCCAACTGTCAGAGTGAGTAGATGACACCGGTTAACTTTACCAACTGTCAGAGTGAGTAGATGACACCGGTCAAATTGACCCGTTAGACAAAGTAAACGATGTGAATCCAGCAGATTGAGTACATGGCACTGGTCAGATTGACCTGTTAGACAAATTTGTTCAGCTTTTTAAAAGACTTTATCCAAAGGAATACGACAGAACTAAAAGCTGACGTTAATATTTCAGCCAATGTCTTCTTCCAAACATTAGGTAAAGCGTTATAACCTGATGAATAGGAAATAAAGTGGAAATATAAACAACAAACAAATAGATGTATTAGTGGATGAAGTTTATTAACGTAGCTCTAGAACTCAGTATTCTAGAACCCAGTCGCCACACCGTATAGTCCCAGTATTCTAGAACCCAATACCGTATAGTGTCATCCAAATCATTGATTCATTTAGGTTAACATTTTGTTTTATTGTGCTGGAAAGGGAAGACAGAATTACGCTCATGAGTTTAACTTCCCGTGGACATTCAGGGAAGACAGAAGTACGATCATGAGTTTAACTTAACTTCCCAGGCACCTTCAGGGAAGACAGAACTACGATCATGAGTTTAACTTAACTTCTCAGGCACCTTCGGGGAAGACAAAAGTACGATCATGAGTTTAACTTAACTTCCCAAGCACCTTCAGGGAAGACAGAAGTACGATCATGAGTTTAACTTAACTTCCCAGGCACCTTCAGGGAAGACAGAAGTACGATCATGAGTTTAACTTAACTTCCCAGGCACCTTCAGGGAAGACAGAGGTACGATCATGAGTTTAACTTAACTTCCCAGGCACCTTCAGGGAAGACAGAGGTACGATCATGAGTTTAACTTAACTTCCCAGGCACCTTCAGGGAAGACAGAAGTACGATCATGAGTTTAACTTCCTGGACATCTTCAGGGAAGACTGAAGTATCATCATGAGTTTAACTTCCCGGACATCTTCTGGGAACACAGAAGTATGGTCATGAGTTCAACTTCCAGGACATCTTCAGGGAAGACAGAATTACGATCATGAATTCATCTTCCCAGACATCTTCAGGGAAGACAGAAGTATGATCATGACGTTCAGCTTAACGGGCATCTATCTTTCAAAATGCATCCGAATACAGCATTTTCTCTGTTATCAATGGAAATTCTCCCGTGGAAGCATATTCCCCAAACAGTATTCCCCAGACAGTTCCGACATTCGTTGGAGTTTATTTCGTTAGTATTCTTTTTTTTTGGCTATATCGAATCCAGAGTTGTTGTTTTTGTTTAGTTTGCTTTTGGTTGCATTAAATCCAATGTTCTGCGCATTTAACTCTACTATTTAGCTGTACCAGGTAATTTAATTTTCTTGTATCAACTGGTATAACTACTCGTTGGGCCAAATTTAGGATTTATTTCTATTAACTTCGGAGAAAAAAAAATCGGTTAACGGATCAAACAGGGTCAGAACTAACTAATGGCAGACGATAAGCTCGACTAGCGAGTAAGCAATCCGGGTGATTATGAATGACTTCAGATCCAAAGTAAGTTACAGATCAGAACTACGAATAATAATCAACTTGTAGGTTTAATTACTAACACTATAGTATAAAACAATCTGACCAGAAGTCCTTAAATAAACTTGAAAACAATCTGACCAGAAGTCCTGAAATAAACGTGTTAAAGATATTTAGCAGTAACGAAACTGTTAAGTGTAATCAGGTATCTATCTATGTACGGTTGCTAATATTTTGTACTTCATACGTATGTAAGATGTGAAAAAGAAAATATATCTGACTGACAAACAGTTCGTGTAATTTTATAGAGGGCGCCACGTTTCAGGTAGACGAAAACGCCATGACCAATCAGAGGAACCGTTGCGGTTTGGACTTGAGCTTTGCTATTATTCTCAATTATTCTTTCTGTACAGCAAATGGGACGTTTCAGAGAACATGTTTTAGAACCATCCTGACCAATCAGAAACAAGTATTACTACCAATAACATTTAAGCGAGATAATTAGCCGATCAAAATGCTGGAGAAACAGATGAAATTAGCAACCTCCCGATTTTGTCAGGGGGCAGAGAAGTAAGTAGTTTACGCTAAGACACGTTAACGTCTGGCTACAGTACAGATAGTGTACTTCACGTGCAAACAGTAAGTACACACACACCATCACTGGACGTAATTTCAAGTTGACGGGCCCAGTGGTCAGAGGGGGTCGGTTCCATGTCAGCATGATGCCGCAAGCCCCGACTCCAATAATGCCAGTCCCGACTAAACCTAAATTAACTTTCTCCATCGAGTCGCTAGTGGGAAAAGACTCTAACGAGGGTCGTGCAGAAAACAGAACCTTCCCAGCACAACAAACCAATACTCGGACATCAATCTCGGAATCTGCGCCAACTTATCCCGCAACGTTCCCTCCAGCCCGGCCCGTTACCGTCTGTCTAGGACAAGGAGAACCGATCTCACCATACATCTACTCCTCGGTGTCACCCGCCTATCCTCCGGTGTCTCCGTTCTTCGTCGGCCGAGAGTCCCAGTATCAGGTGTACCCATGGTTACTGGCGGCGAGACAGCAAAGATTTCTTCCCCCAAGGCTGGGAGGTAAATATCTTAACCCTAAGTGAAAACAATATTAAATCCTTGTGTTTTGTATTACAGTAGTGTTACCATTATTATATGGTGAAGAATAAAATCAGCAGACTTTATTGTGTATATATTGTTGTTATTATTGTTAAATAAACAATGTAACATGTGCCTATTTTATGTAACCATGGCGTATCTAATGTGTTAACGTAACGTACCTGTTTTTATTTACATATAATAATGTTACAAACACTACTGCTATATATAAACATAATGTATTAATACGGTGCTCACCTGTTCTATATAAACATATAGCTTACGTGAGTTCCATAGATATACATACTGTTAACACTTGCAGCTGAAACGTTATTTGTGCTGTGTAATTTTAAGAACTAATGAATGGTGTAATTTTAAGAACTAATGAATGGTGTAATTTTAAGAACTAATGAATGATGTAATTTTAAGAACTAACGAGGTGTAATTTTAAGAATTAATGAATGGTGTAATTCTAAGAACTAACGAAGTGTAATTTTAAGCATTAATGAATGGTGTAATTTTAAGAACTAATGAATGGTGTAATTTTAAGAACTAACGAGGTGTAATTTTAAGAATTAATGGATGGTGTAATTTTAAGAACTAACGAAGTGTAATTTTAAGAATTAATGAATGGTGTAATTTTAAGAATTAATGAATGGTGTAATTCTAAGAACTAACGAAGTGTAATTTTAAGCATTAATGAATGGTGTAATTTTAAGCATTAATGAATGGTGTAATTTTAAGAACCAATGAATGGTGTAATTTTAAGAACCAATGAATGGTGTAATTTT